GTGGAGGATGGCAGGGTTTAGCAAATCTCCAAGTGGCCTCAACGACTGTCTATAAGGACGCAAATGACCAGCTGTCTGCAAGGAGTATAAATCAGGGGTGAAATCCAGCAGGTTCTGACAGGTTCTGGAGAACCGGTAGCGGAAATTATGAGTAGTTTGGAGAACCGGCAAATACCACCTCTGGCTCAGGGGTGGGTTCTAAATTTTTTTACTACTGGTTCTGTGGGTGTGGCTTATTTTGTGGGCGTGGCTTGATGGTCATGTGACAATTCTTTAGGATTTAGCAGAGGTAGTGGTCTACCAGGCTTTTAACTGCTTGCAGAGCTGTACCGGTCTACTCATTCGTTTTTGCAGGCACCGGTCTACCACCACACTGCCTTTTAACACTGATCAGCTGTAGGGCGGCCCTTTGAAGCCCTACGGCATGAGTTTAAACAGTTTTTTTTCCTTCTAGCCGATCAGCTGGGACTCGGGAGGCAGCAATAGATTGGGGGTGGGGCCAAATAAAAGGTAAGAATAACGTGGGGGGCAGGGCGGAGGGGGCGGGAGGGCCCAGCTCCCGAACAAAGAGAACCGGTTCAGTGATGTCATATTGTCACTGCTACCGGCTCGGCCGAACCGGGCTGAACCGGGAGGAACCTACCACTGCTCTGGCTGCCCCAGAGTGGGGAGGGAATGGGGATTTTGCAATATCCTTCCCCTGCCACACCCACCAAGCCATGCCCACAGAACCGTAAATATATTTGAATTCCACCACTGGTATAAGTCAGGGGTGGGTTCTAATTTTTTTTACTACCAGTTCTGTGGGTGTGGCTTATTTTGTGGGTGTGGCTTGGAGGTCATGTGACTAGGCGGGCGTGGCTAGCTGGTCAGAGTAATTTCTGGAAGGTCCTCGCACTTATGACCAGTCCTCGCACTTATGACCCGACTCATTTGTTTGCTTTTAACACTGATCAGCTGTAGGGCGGCCCTTTGAAGCCCCCCGGCAAGAGTTTAAACAGTTTTTTTTCCCTCTAGTCATCAGCTGGGACTCAGGAGGCAGCAATAGATTGGGGGTGGGGCCAAATAAAAGGTAAGAATAACGTGGGTGGGGGGGGGGGGGTGGGGGAGGGCAGGGGGGGAGAACCGGTTTGGTGACGTCATATCGTCACCGCTACTGGCTCGGCCGAACCAGACCGAACCAGGAGGAACCCACCACTGGGGTGGGGCCAAATAAAAGGTAAGAATAATGTGGGGGGTGGGGCGGAGGGGGCGGGAGGCCCAGCTCCCAAACAAAGAGAACGGGTTCGGTGACATCATATCGTCACTGCTACCGGCTTGGCCGAACCGGGCCAAACCGGGAGGAACCTACCACTGCTCTGGCTGCCCCAGAGTGGGGAGGGAATGGGGATTTTGCAGTATCCTTCCCCTGCCACACCCACCAAGCCATGCCCACCAAGCCACACCACGCTCACCAAGCCACGCCCACAGAACTGGGAGTAAAAAAATTTGAATTCCACCACTGGTATAAGTCCTTCCGTTCCCCCCCCACCCCCCAAAATGAAATAATGGTTTGCTTCATAGACAAAATCTTCCAACCTTGGTGTGCAAATCCTCAGGATAGAATACAGAATAACAGAGTTGGAAGGGACCCTGGAGGTCTTCTAGTCCAACCCACTGCTCAGGCAGGAGACCCTATACCCATGATGGCGAACCTATGGCATGCATGCCACAGGTAGCATGTGGAGCCATATCTGTGGGCATGCGAGCATTGCCCTAGCTCAGCTCCAGCGTGCATGTGCGGACTGGCCAGCTAATTTTCGGGCCTTTTGGGCCCACTGGAAGTCGGGAAATGGGCTGTTTCCAGCCTCCAGAGGGCCTCTGGGGGTGGGGGGGAAGGCCGTTTTCGCCCTCCCCAGGCTCCTAGAAAGCCTCTGGTGCCTGGGGAGGGCAAAAAACAGGCCTACCGGGCCCACCGTGCCATCACATGCCAAAAGCGGGGGGAGCTTTGGGAGGTTGTGCATGCATGCGCGGGGGTGTGTGGTGGCATTGAATTATGGGTTTGGGCACACTCATGCGTGACCCCCCCACGCTCCCCCGCTTTTGGCACAAAGGTTAGCCATCACTGCCCTATACCATTTAAGACAAATGGCTGCCCCATCTCTTCTTTAAAACTTCCAGTGTTGGAGCATTCAGAACTTCCGGTGGCAAGCTGTTCCACTGGGTTAATTGTTCTGGGGGCACCTACTATCTGGAACGAGCTCCCCCCGGAGATATGGAGGATCCCGGATCTGCGCACCTTCCGCCGCGCTCTCAAGACCTTTTTATTTCGCCAGGCGGGCCTGGCCTAACTTTCTCCCTCTTTTTAAACAATTTTAATATTTTAATATTTTTAATATCTTTTAATCTTCAAAGTTTAAATCTGTTTTAAATTGATTGGGGTTTTAATCTGTCTGGGCCAAACTATTTAATTCGATTTTATTTCTGTTTTTTTAAATTTTGTATGTATGTATTTTATTGTTGGCTGTTCACCGCCCTGAGTCCTTCGGGAGTAGGGCGGTATACAAATCAAATAAAAGTAAAAGTAAAGTAAAGTTCTAACTGTCAGGAAGTTTCTCCTTAGTTCTAGGTTGTTTCTCTCCTTGATTAGTTTCCTTCTGTTGCTTCTTGTCCTGCCTTCAGGTGCTTTGGAGAATAGCTTGACTCCCTCTTCTTTGGGGCAGCCCCTGAGATATTGGAAGACTGCTATCATGTCTCCCCTAGTCCTTCTCTTCATTAAAGTACAGAGCCTTGGTAGTACAGGGGTTTAAGGCACCCTGTTATTAAGCTTATTAAGACCAGCTGCCTGCAATTACTGCAGGGTTCGAATCTCGCCAAGGCTCAAGGTTGACTCAGCCTTCCATCCTTTCAAAGGTAGGTTAAATGAGGACCCAGTTTGTGGGGGCAATAAGCTGACTTTGTATAAATATACAAAAGGATGAAGGCTATTGCTTAACGCATTGTAAGCCGCCCTGAGTCTTCGGAGAAGGGCGGCATATAAATTAAATTAAAAAAAAAAAAAAAGTAGACATACCCAGTTCCTGCAACCATTCTTCATATGTTTTAGCCTCCAGTCCCCTAATCATCTTGGTTGCTCTTCTCTGCACTCTTTCTAGAGTCTCCACATCTTTTTTACATCGTGGTGACCAAAACTGGATGCAGGATTCCAAGTGTGGCCTTACCAAGGCCTTATAAAGTGGTATTAACACTTCACGTGATCGCAATTCTATCCCTCCGTTGATGCAGCCTAGAATTGTGTTGGCTCCTAAACTTGTTTTTGCTTCTGTGGTTGAGTTGTGAGTCTTCCCTATAAAACTCGGAAGAGGCCCAGGGTTCCCCCTCTTTCCCCATCAATATTTCTTCCTGGATGCTAAGAGGTCAGAGGTCATCCGGGAGCTGCCCCCTTCTTGCTAATTGCCCTGATGGAGGGGAGAGGGGGGGGGCGCAGGGGCTTTGCATGTAATCCCTACAGGTGTCAGCGGAGGCTCAGCGGAGATCAGGGTCTGTCATCAAATATTTATCTCTCCCACCCGCACAGAGGTTAAAGGTCACTGCTGGGGTGGGAGGCTGGGGGCGGTCAGCTATGGCTCTCCTGGGGGTCCGGCGAGCGGAGTCCATCCATCACGGCTCAGCCAGAAGATGCGGAAGTGGAGCTGCCCTTTGCCGCTTGCAAGCTTCAGGAATTGTGGGGGGGGAAGGAGAAGGGAGAATTAGATGCTGTAATGGCCCCCCCAGCTGGCCAAAGCCCTGCAGGGTTGTTCTGGGGCAGAGGAGGAGGGGGCTCTCGCTGAAAGGAAAGAGAAGGGCAGGGATGGGAGTCCAGGAAGAAAGCACATTGCTGGGGTTTTTTATTTATTTTTTGAATAGAATAGAATTTCTTATTAGCCAAGTGTGATCGGACACACAAGGAATTTGTCTTTGGTGCATACGCTCTCAGTGTACATAAAAGAAAGATACGTTCGTCAAGAATCATAAGGTACAACACTTAATGATAGTCATAGGGTACAAATAAGGAAGGAAGGAAGGAGAGAAAAGGAAGGGAGGGAGGGAGGGAGGGAAGGAGGAAGGATGGAGAGAAAAGGAAGAAGGAGGGAGGGAGGGAGGAAGGAGGAAAAAAGGAAGGAAGAGAGGGAGGGAGGAAGGAAGGAAGGAAGGAGGAAAATAGAATAGAACAGAATTCTTTATTGGCCAAGTGTGATTGGACACACCAGGAATTTGTCTTGGTGCATGCTCTCAGGGTACAGAAAAGAAAAGATACGTTCGTCAAGAATCATAAGGTACAACACTTAATGATAGTCATAGGGTACAAATAAGGAAGGAAGGAAGGAAGGAAGGAAGAAGTGGAATGAAGGAAGGATGGATGGAAGGAAGGAAGGAAGTAAAGGAAGGAAGGAAGGAAGGAAGGAAGGAAATGTAAAATTGATGATACTTCAATTTCCAAAAGAACAATTTTGTTAGCGAAGGTCTCCTCTGTGTCTGTGTGTGTGTCTCTGTGTGTGTGTGTGGGTTGTGTTTGGGAGTGGCAGTCCCTCTGAAGAAGAAGCAAGCTGGCCCAGAAGCTGCAACAATCTCTGGAGTTGGGGAAGGCTTGGAAATAGGTGTGTGGGGGGGGGGTTTCGGTAGGGTTAGGGGCATTTAAGGTAGGAAAGACAGCCTTTCCCTGCAGCTGCCTGGGTTGGATGTGGTAGGGAGACCACTAAGAGATCTGAGGATGGGGAGGGGGGAATATTGAACAACCCGCCCAGAAGAAGGATGAGGAACCCCCACCCCATCTTGAGTAATGCAGAATGGGGAGGGGGGGGTTTCTGCATTTAGGATTTCCACTGCCTTTTTCTCTCTCCTGTTGATCTCTCATCTCATTACGCAAAGCAGGTCTGAGTGGCTTATCCCGGCCTCTTCAGTTTCCCTTCCATCTGCTCTTTTGGGGGGGGGCTTTTGTCAGCCCCCCCAATTGATACCCACTGTTTCTTTCCCCTCTGCAGCTCTACGAGTTGGACGGAGACCCCAAGCGGAAGGAATTTCTGGACGATCTCTTTAGCTTCATGCAGAAGAGAGGTGAGTGGGGGGCGGGGAGAGTTTCCTTCCTTCCTTCCTTCCTTCCTTCCTTCCTTCCTTCCTTCCTTCCTTTCTTCCTTTACTTCCTTCCTGCCTGCCTGCACTTTCATTTTCTTTCCTCCATCTCTCCTTTCTCTCTTTCTCCCTCTCCTCCCTCCCTCCCTCCTTCCCTCCTTCTCCTTCTCTTTTCTCTTTATTTCTCTCTTTCTTGCTCTTCTTTCTTTCCTTCCTTCCTTCCTTCTCCCTCTTTCCTTTTCTCCATCCCTCTCTTCTCCCTTTCCCTCTTTTTTTTCCTTTCCTCCATCCCTTTCCTTCCTTCTTTCCCCCTTTCCTTTTCTTTCCTTCATCCATCGCTTCCTTCCTTCCTTCCTTCTCCCTCTTTCCTTTCCTTTTCTCCCTCCCTCCCTTCCTCCCATCCCAGAGCAATCCTTGCCTGCCCCTCCCACTTAATTAGCCCCCCATTAACCTCGGCCTTTGCCTGTCGGGGCTGATCGCGCACAGCTTCATCCATTCAGTGGTTGGCAAAGGGCTCTAATTGATGGCAAACCTCTGGATTGGCGTCAGAGGCCGTGGGGGGTGGGTGGGGGCTCTATGGCTTGATGGGTCAGGGGAGGCGAGGTCAGAGGTTAAAGCATTTATCGAATCCCCTCAATTGCTGGAGCTTCCTCTTCATTCCAATCGGCCTGATAACAAAACCCAGCACCGATTTCCAATGTCGGGTCGGAGGCCCTCCATCAGGGCTGCCATTAAATGGCTTTGGGGCTGAATAAGGGCCCCCCCTCCACCCCAGGGCTGCCGCAGGTGGGGTCAAAAAAGTCAAGATGGAAGCCAGAGCTGGGTGACTCAAACTCCCTCCGCTTGTGTCCCAGTGCCAGCTAAGGACGCTATTGGCAAGAGAGCCCCTGAGCTTATCCAGAATTCACTTATTGCTCCCGCAAACATGGGGAGGGGTGCACAGCAAGAGGGGAGAGCTAAAGACCAGAGGTAGTCCTCAACTTACAGCCACAATTGAGCCCAAAATTTATGTTGCTCAGTGAGAAATTTGTTAAGTGAGTTTTGCCCCATTTATACAACTTTTCTTGTTAAGTGAATCACTTGCCGTTGTTAAGTGAGTAACCCAGTTGTTAAGTGAAACTGGCTTCCTCATTGACTTTGCTGTTCAGAAGGTCGCAAAAGGGGATCACGTGACCCTGGGACACTGCCACCGTCATAAATACGAGTCAGTTGCCAAGAGTTCAAATTTTGATTAGGGAGGGAGGGAGGAAGGAAGGAGAATATGAGAAAAAAAGGAGGGAGGGAGGAAAACGGGAGAGAGGGAATGAGATAGGCAGGTCAGTGAAAAAAAGGGAAAGGGGGGAAAGAAAGAAGGAGGGAAAGTGAGGGAAGGAGGAAGGAAGAAAGGAATGGAAGGAGGGAGGGAGGAAAGTGAGGAAGGAAGTTTAGAGAAGAAGGGAGGAAGGAAAATGGGAGAGAGGCAGAGGTGGGTTTCAGCAGGTTCTGACCAGTTCTAGAGAACTGGTAGCGGAACTTCTGAGTAGTTCAGAGAACCGGTAGTAAAAATTCTGACTGGCCCCACCCCCATCTATTCCCTGCCTCCCAAGTCCCAGCTGATAGGGGGGAAATGGGGATTTTGCAGTAACCTTCCCCTGCCACGCCCACCAAGCCACACCCACCAAGCCATGCCCAAGCATCGGTAGTAAAAATTTTTAATCCCACCACTGAAGAGAAGGAATATGATAGGCAGGTCAGTGAGGAAAAGGAAGGAGGGAGGGAGGGAGGAAGAAGGAAGAAAGATGAGTGAGAAAATGGAATGAAGGAGGAAGGGAGGACGGAAGGAAGAGAAGGAGGGAGAAATGGAGGAATGGAAAATGGGAGAAAGAGAATAAGATAGCAGGTCAGTGAGGAAAAGGAAAGGAGGATGAGAAGGAGGGAGGGAGGGAGGAAGAAGGAAGAAAGATGAGTAAGAAAATGAAATGAAGGAGGAAGGGAGGACGGAAGGAAGAGAAGGAGGGAGAAATGGAGGAATGGAAAATGGGAGAAGAGAATAAGATAGCAGGTCAGTGAGGAAAAAGAAAGGAGGATGAGAAGGAGGGAGGGAGGAAGGAAGAAAAGGAGGAGGGAGAAGGGGAAGAAGGGAGGGAAGGAGCTGGGAGGGAGGGAGGGAGGAAGGAAGGAGGAGATGAGGAAGGAAAGGAGAAGAGGGAGGAAGGAAGGAAGGAAAGGAGGAGGGAGGGAGAAGGGAAGGAAGTAAGGGAGGGAGAGAAGGAGCAGGGACGGAGGGAGGAAGGAAGGAAGGAAGGAGGGAAGAAAGGAGGAGGGAGGGAGAAGGGAAGGAAGGAAGGGAGGGAGGGAAGGAGCAGGGACGGAGGGAAGAAAGGAGGAGGGAGGGAGAAGGGAAGGAAGGAAGAAAGGAAGGAAGGAAGGAAGGAAGGAAGGAAGGAAGGAAGGAAGGAAGGAAGGAAGGAAGGAAGGAAGGAAGGATGGATGGATCTGGGCTACCTGCAGATGATGGGGGGGGGGCTCCCCCAAGGTTCACAGCCCCCTCCACCCTGCTCCTGGCCCTCATTATTCTCCCCGAACTAATTAAGCTGCTTTCTCCTGCCTGCGATAAGGGTGCTAATTAAGAGCTTTTCTTGTGGCTCTACATCTCTATTGGAAAGCCCTTTGTGAGGCTCCTGCAGGGGATCGAATCCCTCCGGGGGGGGGGCAGGGGGGGCGTGTGTGCTGATTCTCCTGGGCGAGGGGGGGGGTGTCTGTTGATGCCCATCGATTGCCTCTAGGAGAGATAAGGGGCAAGGTGCCCACCCCACCCGCTTTGCCTGAAGGAGAGAAATCACACTCAGCGGAGCCTCTGCCTGCCTCCTGGCCCTCACACAATTTGAACCTCCCACCCGCGAGAAGCTGGGGGGCAGCCCCCCACCACATGCTCCAGCCTTCCTGGATTTCGTGTGTGCCCCCCCTCCCCCCCCGCTGGCTGGGGAGGATGGCCCTGCAGTTCCTGGCCTTTAGCGGGAGCAAGGCTGCAGTCATCCTTGCTCAAACTGGCATCTTATCGAATCTCAGGCCTGGAAGGGACCTCGGAGGTCTTCCAGTCCACCCCCCTGCCCTGCTCAAATAGAAGACTCGATCCCATTCTGCACAAACGGCTATCCCATCTCCTCTTAAAGACCCCCAGGGATGAAGCACCCACAACGTCTGGTGGCAAGCCCTTCCACTGATTTTCTTTTTTTTAAAATTTGATTTATATGCTGCCCTTCTCCGGAGACTCAGGCCAGCTTACAAGGCGTTAAGCAATAGCCTTCATCCTTTTGTATATTTTTTATACAAAGTCAGCTTATTGCCCCCACAAACTGGGTCCTCAATTTACCTACCTTAGAAAGGATGGAAGGCTGAGTCAACCTTGAGCCTGGCGGATTCGATCTTACTTTAATTGCAGACAGCGGGTGTTAAATTACAGTGCTTAGTCTGTTGAGCTATCCAGGCTCAACATAATTCACAGAGTAACAGAGTTGGAAGGGACCTTAGAGGTCTTCTAGTCCAACCCCCTATGCCAGTGATGGCTAACCTTTTTGCTATTGCATGCCAAAAGCGGGGGGAGTGCGGAGGGGTGTCACATGTGTGCGTGCCCACGCCCATAATTCTATGTGCCCCACCCCTGTGCATGTGTACGCGACCCCCCCACGCTTCCCTTGCTTTTGGCACGCGATGGCCTGGTGAGCCTGGTAGGCCCGTTTTTCGCCCTCCCCAGGCTCCAGAGCCTTTCTAGGAGCCTGGGGAGGGCAAAAACAGCCTTTCCTACCCTCCTGGAGGCCCTCTGGAGGCCGGAAAGAGCCTGTTTGCCGACTTTCAGGGGGCTCAGAAGGCCCAAAAATCAACTGCCTGGCACGCGCATGTGTGCCCACCGATATGGTTCCACTTGCCACCTGTGGCATGCGTGCCATAGGTTCGCCATCACAGCCCTATGCCATTTCAGACAAATGGCTGCCAATCTCTTGTTGAAAACCTCCAGTGATGAAACACCTACAACTTCTGGTGGCAAGCTGTTCCACTGGTTAATTGTTCTCACTGTCAGGAAATTCCTCCTTAGTTCTAGGTTGCTTCTCTCCTTGATTAGTTTCCATCCGTTGCTTCTTGTCCTGACTTCAGGTGATTTGGGGAATACGTTGACCCTGTCTTCTTTGGGACAGCCCCTGAGATATTGGAAGACTGCTATCAGATCTCTCTTCCCTTTCATAAAAACAAATTTCATACTCATTAATTTCTTGACTTCAATAAAGAACCCTGCAAGCGTGACTTCCTGAGAACCCTGCAGAGTAGGCCGGCGTCGATCCCCAGCCCACAGCTGGGAAGACTGAGTTGCTGGGAAGTTGGTGGTATAAATGAAAATGGTTGTCCCGGAGGTGCTTTTTCAAGAGGCCACTGGACTTTCTGGTTTTTCTTTGAAGACGTTTCGCTTCTCATCCAAGAAGCTTCTTCAGCTCTGACTGGATGGAAATTTTGGGAAATTTCCAACCGATTTCCCAAAAATTGCAGCTACAGGAACCATTTGCACTACACAGGTGAGCCTGAGGACTACAGATAAACCTCCAGGTGGCCTCAACGACCCTCTAAAAGGATGCAAATGACCAGCTTTGTCTGCAAGGAATATAATATAAGGAGCCTGGATAGCTCAACAGACAGAAGCACTGTAATTTAACACCAGCTGTCTGCAATTAAAGTAAGATCGAATCTCGCCAGGCTCAAGGTTGACTCAGCCTTCCATCCTTTCTAAGGTAGGCAAATTAAGGACCCAGTTTGTGGGGGCAATAAGCTGACTTTGTATAAAATGTACAAAAGTATGAAGGCTATTGCTTAATGCACTGTAAGCCGCCCTGAGTCTCCGGAGAAGGGCGGCATATAAATCGAATTAAAAAAAAAATCCTTCCCTTCCCCACCGTCCTGTCAGAGCTGAAGAAGCTTCTTGGATGAGAAGCAAAATATCTTCAAAGAAAAAACCAGAAAGTC